AGGAGGCCGATGGAGGCAGCCCTCCCGGCGCTTCAGGGCTGCAGAAGGAGGCTGCACCTCAACAGAACACCTTCATTCAGGTCCAGGGCACTGCAGCTGAGAGGTGATCAGCAACGTTGGGGTTCTCCACGAACCCCTGAAAGCTCTCTCAGAAGGTCAGGTGAAACATACGCCCCACCCACAAAGTCAACCAGAGTTTCCCTTTTTCTCTGTCTCTCCACACCCCAACCCTTCCTAGCTCAGAACCAGCCCTGGCAAGCTGGAGAGAGGGGCGGTGCTCTGCTCTTCTGCCACTAGGTGGCGCACCTGCAGCTGGCCGCGGGGCTGCAGGGCGGTTGGGAGGGGAGGTTTTAAATTTATAACCCAAGTTCAAGGTCTTTTCATAATTACTTATTCAGTCTGCTAGATCAGCTACTCGTGTTTTCAGCCTAAATAACCAAATTTGTTCTTAACTGGCCCGCATTATAAGCCCAGGCGTCATCTGTGTTCCAGAGCCCCTGAATCTCATGTCCCCTCCGGCTTCTTGCATGCCGGGGTCCCCTGAGATCAGGGGCAGTCAGCGGGAAAGTGTGTGCTGCCCCCAGCCCCGCCCCAGCTCCCTAGTGCAGGTGGTGTGCGCGTGTGTCCCATTTTTATTGAAACATAGAGTTGACCTACGGACCCCCTGGGACACCCCGGGAGGGCACGGACTTCCTGCAGGGGAGGCTCCCCTTAAACAAGGCTCCTTCTTTCAAAAGGGAACTGGGAACTCCTAAAGGCTGCTGTGATCCGGTCTGGCCTGCCATCAAGGTAGGGAAGATCCAGGCTGGGTGGCCCAGAAGGGGGTCTCCTGAGGTGGCCTAAAGTACAGCTGGGGACCCGGCAGGAGGGGCTGGAAGGAGCCCAGGTTTCAGACAGCACTGAGCATCCCGCCTGCAGGAGGAGGTGGGGAGGGGCAGGGATGCCACTGGGCATCGAGCAGCGAGGTCGGGGTGCAGAATTGGGCTCTGGAGAAGGGTTCAGAACTGGGGGCTGCATGCTTGACACCCCACTCTGAACTGCTCAGCAGGGAGCCCGGGCAGCTGTTCTATGCTCCTGTGCTGCAAGTCATGCAGTGCCAGGCTCCGAACCACAGGGTCAGGTCTGACAGCCCGAGAAACTGAAATCATCAAGTTTGTCAGCTGTTACGATGTCATGGTGTCCTCACATAAAGTGTTCTTACCACAGCGGCAGACTGAAGTATTTATAGGTGAAATGGCACGGTGGCTTAGACTTGCTTTTTTTTTTTTTTTTTTGGAACAAGCTGTTGCTCTGTCACCCAGCCTGGAGTGCAGTGGCGCAATCACAGCTCACTGCAGCCTCCTGGGGTCAAGCGAGCCTCCCTCTTCAGCCCAAGTAGCTGGGACTACAGGTGCACTCTACCACACTCGGCTGAGGTGTTAGTTTTTTGCAAAGATGAGGTCTCGGTATATTGACCACGCTGGCCTCAAACTCCTGTAGGCTTGTTTTAAAAAATACTCCATTTTGGCCAGGTGCAGTGGCTCACACCTGTAATCCCAGCATGTTGGGAGGCTGAGGTGGGCAGGAGTTGAGACCAGCCTGGCCAACATGGTGAAACACTGTCTCTATTAAAGACACCAAAAAATTAGCCAGGTGTGGTGGCGGGCACCTGTAATCCCAGCTACTCGGGAGACTGAGGCAGGAGAATTGCTTGCACCCCGGAGGCGGAGGTTGCAGTAAGCTGAGATCACACCACTGCACTCCAGCCTGGGCAACAGGGCGAGACTCCATCTCAAAAAAAAAAAAAAAAAAAGAACCCAAAAACCAAACCAAACCAAAACAAAAAACTCCATCTCCCCCAAAAGTTAGGGGAGACAGAGGAAACAAGATTTTCTAAATTTTTTTTTTTTCTTTAACCAGGGGAAAGCATGAACACAGTCCCCACGACCACAGATGATGCGGCCAAGTTTCCTACTTTTGGGGAAATCGCAGGGGTCAGCACGTCCGGAGTGCAGTGGATAAGCCTTGCCCTGGGAAGACCACTTTCGTGATCACGGTATCTCCCCTGCCAAATGAGTACGCTGATAATTTTTAGCCTGGGCGAGAGGCTTTCTCTCTACTTCTGTGTATGTTTGAAATGTTCTGTAAAGTTTTTTTCATTTTTTTTTTTTTGAGACGAGTCTCACTCTGTCCCCCAGGGTGGAGTGCAGTGGCGCGATCTCGGCTCACTGCAAGCTCCGCCTCCCGGGTTCAAGCCATTCTCCTGCCTCAGCCTCCCAAGTAGCTGGGACTACAGGTACTCACCACCACACCCGGCTAATTTTTTGTATTTTTAGTAGAGACGGGGTTTCACTGTGTTAGCTAGGATGGTCTCGATCTCCTGACCTCGTGATCCGCCCACCTCGGCCTCCCAAAGTGCTGGGGTTACAGGTGTGAGCCACTGCGCCTGGCCTTTTTTTTTTTAAGACTGATTTTGCTCTTGTTGTCCAGTCTAGAGTGCAGTGTCATGGTGTCGGCTCACTGCAACATCCGTTTCCCAGGTTCAGGTGATTCTCCGGCCTCAGCCTCCCAAGTAGCTGGGATTACCAGCATGTGCCACCACACCCAGCTGATTTGTATTTTTAGTAGAGACAGGGATTCACCATGTTGGCCAGGCTGGTCTCGAACTCCTGACCTCAGGTGATCTGCCTGCCTCGGCCTCCCAAAGTGCTAGGATTACAGGCATGAGCCACTGCACCCAGCCAAAGTTTTTTTTTAAAAAGAGAATCTGCAGGAAGAACAGGCCTGGATTTAGTTTTCTTTCTTTTTCTTTTTTTTTTTTTTTGAGACGGAATCTCGCTCTGTTCCCCAGGCTGGAGTGCAGTGGCGCGATCTCGACTCACGGCAAGCTCCGCCTCCTGGGTTGACACCATTCTCCTGCCTCAGCCTCCCGAGTAGCTGGGACACCACGCTCGGCTAATTTTTTTGCATTTTTAGTAGAGACGGGGTTTCACCGTGTTAGCCATGCTGGTCTCGATCTCCTGACCTCTTGATCCGCCTGCCTCAGCCTCCCAAAGTGCTGGGATTACAAGGATGAGCCACCGTGTCCGGACCTGGAGTCAGTTTTCACCTTGCATCAAGCGCGTGTTCCTCAGCTCCTTTTCACCAAAACCTGTCCCCCTAATTGTGCATTGGACCATCCCCGTCTGCCCTTTCCTATGTGCTCCTATGCCTGTAAGACAGGATGACAGCAGCCTGTTCCCAAACCACAGAAGAGATGGCTAATGAATGGAATAGCCAGCCTTTGGGTGGTGGAAGTAACCATTCAAAAAAATGTGGGGGGCTGGGGAGATGCCCAAATAGGCTTTCCAGTGACGCACGGCAGCCCCTGCCAGGGAGCCCCTCTCACCCCGGCGGCCAGGCACCTAAGATCTACCAATGCCAAGAATCCACTGAACTTTGCTTCTCCCCAGTTCCAGCTGGCCTGGAAACTTCCTCCACCTCTTCACCCCCACCCCCACTGGGCTCCTGACAGCCCTGTGTGACCTGTGGCCTCATGTTCTCTCTTCCTTACATGGCTGAGGCTGTCCCTACCTTGCCTGTATCTCCCGCCGGGCGCTGCCTGCTCGTGGAGATGCTGGAATGCCGGTTGCTAAGCCAGTGCACAGCCCACACTGGCTCCTGGTGAGCACCGCATCGAGCTGCCCTGCTGCTGGGGACACAAGATCCTCCGTGTGCGGCACTGTCTTCTGCTCCACCACCGCCCTCCTGGCTCTCCCTCCTCTCAGCAGCTCCCTTACCTGCCCTTGGATACTGGAGTCCCCCAAGCTGGCTCGGAAGCTTCTTCTCCTGGCTTGGGTTGAGCAATCTACAATCTCAAGCACACCCAGGCTCCCAAAACCAGCCTCTGAGGAAAGCCTCCTGAGTTTACCTCCCGCAGGATGTTTATCTCCCTTCCCTGGTGGTGTCACTCTTCAAATCAACTTCCCAGGCCCTGGAGGCAGGTGGCAGCCAGCTGGCAGCCTCCAGAGTCCCCAGAGAGACAGGGTCTCATTTTGCCGCCCAGGCTGGAGTGCAGTGGTCTGACCAAGGCTCACTGCAGCCTCGACCTCCCAGGCTCAAGCAATCCTCCCACCTCGGCCTCCAGAGTAGCTGGGATTACAGGCACACACCACTACACTCAGCTACTTTTTAAAGTTTTTGGTAGAGATGGGGTCCCGCTGTGTTGCCCAGGGTGGTCTTGAACTCCTGGGCTCAAGCGATCCTCCTGCCTTAGCCTCCCAAAGTGCTGGGATTACAGGCTGGGCCACTGTGCCTGGCCTCTTTTATGATTTTCTTAACATTTCATCTTCTCTAGCTTACTTTATTCCAAGAGTGTACTATATAATACATATTAACAAAGTATGTGGAAACTGTTCTCAGTGAGGCGTCCAGTCAACAGTAGGCTATCAGTAGTTAGGTTTTTGGACAGTAAAAAGTTATATGTAGGTCTCTGCGTGTGGGGTCAGCACCCCTACCCCGCTGCTGTTCAAGGGTCAACTGTGCTCTTCCGCAAGCTTTAAAGCATGGGAACGCCAGTGCCTACCCTGTTCTCGAGGAAATCCAGTGTTCTCTTGATACTTGACCTTATCTAAACAGGATTGCCACGGAGACTTTACTCTGCAAAAGCAACAATTTCATCTTAACACAAAGTTTAAAATGGTAAATTAAAAAAAAAATCCCGAGGGCTTTTTGTTCACTGGAAAATTCTTTCATGCTAACAGACTTAATTATCATAACTACAAATAAATCGTAATCTTTTCTTTCCTTTCATCTTTCCTCATCTTACGTGTTGCAGGGAAGCCAGGCTAAGAGCTGCCCGGTTCCCGAGCCTCTCGTTCTGGGAGAATCCTGGAGGTTCAAGGCCTTGCTTGCCTGAGAGGTGCTGAGCAGCGGCACAGGGCCATTGCTGGCTGTGTTAACAGTGACTGAATGAACAGTGAACACCTGCAAGGTTAATACTGCGCTGGTCAAAGAATTTCATTTACAATGAAATGAAGCCATTTTAAATCCATCGAATTCATTCATTCATTCATAAAATGATTAATTCATTATAAAGAGAGCTATAGTAGTTTGCATATATATAAAATAGTACATATATCTAAAATAGTATATTTGTGTGTGTATTTTTTTATCCTTTGTCTATTATTAAGCTTGGAAAATAGGAGTGCATTGAAATAAAAGTAGACCTTACTGACATGTAAGTCAATAATGAATGCCTTTTCCTTCCCTCATCTTATCATTCCCTCCATTGTTAATTGAAAAACAATTGCTTTTGCCAGTATTCACAAAACCACATAAACTGACAATTGAGTATGGTAATAGGCCAAATCCTTTATAGTTATCTCCCCTGATGAATGTTTCCACACCACCTGCAAACTACAGTCTCATCTGCAAACTACAGTCTCACCTGCAAACTACAGTCTCACCTGCAAATGGCCTAGGTGAGAACAAAATCTGCGTATGAAACAGAACATAGTGTGAATCATATCTAACTTTAAATATTTTAATTTATATGCTTTCATAAATATAGGTCAATAAGAAATCCACTTTTCAGATTTTATTTCATTATAGAATATATTTGACAAGGATACATACAAACAGATTCATCTTCAATAATACATGGTGTTTACTGGTGCCCTGCACTTCTGCAGTAGGCTGGTGATGCCATCAAAAATGTTTCTGAAAGTTGCACTTAATCAGCCACTCTAAACAACCAGTGCCATAGAGCTCAGATAATTCCATTCATTTGCTTGCCTAGAATGAGTAAAAATCTTAATATTTGTTTTAAAGTCTGTTTATTACTCTTCTATTTAAAAATTTGAGATACATTCCCCAATGTAAACAATAAATTTCAATCTGTCACACAATCGAAATGGATAAGGCCTTCTTGACAAATTTCTGCCACCTCCGTTTAACGCATCGAAACTCGATCTGGTCTCACACTCTAATGAGTCGCCCATGCACAAAAGACAGGAAAAGCAGCTGCCCTGGCACCTGGTGGAGCCCTTCGGGACCTCTGTCTGCAGGTTTACGGTACGCTTGAGAGAGATCTTTCTGACTTGGTCTACTTGGTCGTAAAATACAAATATACAACGTCCATAAGCATAAGACAGTAAAGCCTAGTCTGACATATTTATTATGAGTTGCTAGAATCCTATACAAGTACAGTATCATCTCATGCCAAGTAATATACACAAGAAGGTGGCAAAACATCTCACCGTGAATCAGGGCGTGTGAACAAGGGATGGGGGATGCAAGCCAGGTGGGTGTGAAGAGGCTGACCGCATCCGGTTAGGCAGGACGGTGTCACTGAAACTCGGAAACGCCTGTGTACCCTGCTGAAATATTTAAGTCAATTAGGAGTAGAATCTGCTTAGCACAAGAGGAATACAAGCCCTCTCTCACAGCCTCCCCAAGGGAGAATGTAAGGAAACCTTGGAAAATGTAACCAAATACAGTCTCATCTTTGCGTCTCCTGATTCAGCCGTGCAAATCAGTTATTCACTCTTCTTAAGTGATCTGTCCTTTTAGGACCAATTCCTCAACAGCCATCATGGTTCAGTACCTCATTATCATCATAAATATTTGACTTAGCAAGCTAGATGGTGAAACAGTGAAGACTATATACAATGTTTTAAAAGGCATTCTGTGACCATTTTTGAAGAGTTCATAGAAAAGTTACTAAGAATATACCAGTTACTTCTGTTGATGTCGCTGTAATGTAAACGTTGGAACCTTGTTGGTATTCAATGTGCACTGTGTCATATATTGTACAACAAAAGTGAACACGGAACCACTGATCCGCTGTGGCGCCCGCTGGCGCACTAAGCTAAGGTAGCCGGCGGAGGGCCCAGTTTTCCTGAGGTTTGTAAGAATTTTTTAAACAAAACAGAAATCACAGTGACCAAGGGTAATGTGAGTCTGTGTCTTCCTTGCCATGCTGCTCCCCACAGCTCTCGGGGGGGACTAAATAACGCGCCACTGCATGATGCTCGTGTCTTTCCCGCCCGTGGAGATGAGGTGGCTGTCTTCACAGAGGAAATCGACGTTGGTGACATGGCTGCTGTGCCCGCCGTAGATGTGGCTCGGAGCCTGGAGTGAATGATATGGGGGAAAGCTTCCTTTACTACAAGGCAAACCGTCTGGGATGGGAAAGTGCTTGAATTCTCACTGCATGCTTTAATTCCTTTACTCGCCCTCCACTTGGCAGCTCTCACTTGGGCACCTGTTCTGTGTGTGACACAGAAGGGACACAGAAACAAAGCCCACAGTCCTCATGGCCTGGTAGGGGACAAATACGAGCAAATGACTGCCCTCGGCTGAGAGATACGTTCAATATCAGAGGTGCCAGGTATGAGGTCGCCCCAAAAGCGGGCCTAACCAGATGCCCGGGGCTGAGGGCGGGGGTCTCCTCGCTGAAGGAGGATCAGGGTCAGGGTGACAGAGGATGAGGAAGGGTGCCCCAAGCCTCTGGGCTGGCTCAGCTGAGCAGGGCCACAGCAAGGGGGCCGTGGCAGAGGTCAGAGCCGTGAGCCTGTGGAGCCACAGAGGTTGACAAGCGGATCTGAAGGGCTCTGTGGGTCCCGTGGGGCTTGGGGTTTCCCTAAGGGCAGTCGAAAGTGCTCCGGGCACGGATAACAGAGTCACATCTGCCTTTGTGACTGGCAGCACTCACTCACAGCCCATTTCCATTTAGTCTCCCAACAGGTCGGGCATACGTGCACGCCCCACAGGGGATACAATTAGCGAAGAAACAAGCCCTTTACCCTGAACTGCGAGCAGGGGTATGAGAAGAGGTGCACTTTGCCAAAGTCGTCGCCTGTTGACAGGAGTTTCTTCTCGTGGGCCCGACAGACAGCATTGATGTCGGTTCCATCTGAGCCTTCTGGCCACACTCCTAAAACAAAGACCGCAAACGGCGCTGGAGACATCAGGGGCCACAGGGCCACGGCATGCAGGAGCCGCCCACTGGACAGTCCTGAACACAAAACTGCCTCAAGTCCAGCTTTAGAAACAAGGGTCAAAAAAGCACAACAGCCTCGGTTCCTGGCCTCCCCCTGTGCGCCCGCTCTCCTCTCACTCAGGCCAGTCTCCAATGCCCTGCTGCGCGAAAGGAGCAAAGACAAGCTTTCCGAGCTGCCAGGTCTTTGGAGGCCTCTTCTCGAGGCCAAGGCAGACGGTACCAGGAACCCCGGTTCCCAACGCAATGTCTCTCCTTGATCTCTGAAGCATCTGGTGGGAAGCTGCCCTGTCCTCAAGCCTGCAGTTTCCTTGTTATTGCTGTAACTCTCTACATGAGCGGGTGTCTCCAAAGGCCTTTTAACCCTGGGTGTGCACGTGTTTCTTGGGGTCACTCACTGTGGCTGCTGCTTGCTTGGAGCAGCCTGGCAGCTGTGCCCATCATCACTGGCTCCAGGCTCTGCATCCCTGAGCCCAGGTGGGCCTGGAGGATGGGTGGGTGGGGGACCCTTTTAACAATACCTGTGGCTAGGAGACGGCTGGATGCAGGTCGAGTTTTTGACAGGGAGCTCTGGAGCGAACCTCTGGATCTCAGCACTGAACACCACAAAATTGCAAATTCTCACCAATCTACTGACTTGTGGTCTTATATAAAGAGACGATAAATACTACCTTTAAAAATTCTATTAATTTGCAGCGCTTTAATTTAGGTTACTTATGAATACATTCCTAAAGTGAACTTTGAAGAAAGTGAAATTTTTAGTTTAAGAACAAAAAATATATAAATAATAACCCTCACAAATGATAAGTTGACTGAGTGCCATCTGGCCCACCCAGGTCCACATGGCACAGCCTGACAGGAGAGGGTTCTAGGGAGTTCTCTCAGGATCCGCCGCCCTGGCCCTGTACGATGGAGAAGGGTTAAAAACCCATCTTTCCGGTTCTTCTCAGCAGGCCATGGCCAGGCAAGCTCCGGCCCGACCCCAGGGTACGGCAGGAGGTGTGGCACACGGGCCTCCCGTAGCAGCAGAGCAGTCTGACAAGACCATGAGACTCCATAGCTACTGAAGACATATTTTAAAAGGAGACACTCTTTTGTTGGAACCAGTGAAATCTGTAGCAAACTCACCAAAAACATGGAATCCCAAAGTGCAGGTATAGGTAGCCCATTCAATGTCTCTCGTAGTTTCCACACTTACGACTTGCTTACAGGCAGAGGGAACCCCTGCAAAAAGCAAACACAGTCTGGTGACATCTAAGCCAAGGCCCCACCCCTCCCCTGGGCAAGGCTGAGCCCCCAGAGCCGTGCCCCGTTGGGTACAGAGCCCTCCCCGGAGAGGGAGACCCTCCACTTCCCAGTCAGGTGGGAACCACATGTGCACAGCTGTGAGCTCCCCTGGAACTGAGCCCGAGCCCCTGGGCCTGGGTGGAGACGCCCTCTTCTTTGTTTTTTTTCCCATCTCTGTCTCTGTTTCCCAGTCTGGCTTCTCTTGTCTCTGGTTCCTGGGTCTCCACCTGCTGCCTGCCCCTGCCAGAGCCCCTGAACACAGCTCTGCCTCTCCTGTCAGGTCCCCCAGCTTCCCCATCCCTCTCAGTCACTTCAGCTCAGAGTCAGGAATGGAGGTTATTGAAACCAGTCACACCAAGGGCCTCCTAAGGAACATTTATGTGTTCCCCAAATGAGCTCTCACCAGCAGAGTACGAGACCTCATCTGAGAAGGTTCTAGACCCAGGGACTGTGCCTGAAAACCATCCCGTTCCTGTGCCTGTGTCAGGCAGGACCTGGACGGGGAGGAGGTGAGACGGTGTGGCTGCCCTCCCCACTGGAGGGAGCTCAGTCTCGGTACACACTGCCCTGCTTTCCCTGCCGCCAGTGGTCCTGCCTGTCCTGGTCCTCAACAAGTGGTGACGCTCAAGTGAGTGTGACTCCCCCACCCCCGTGGGCTCTTGGGGCCTGTGTTTTGGGCTCTGAGCCCTTCCCTGCATCATGGGGCCAAGCCAGAAAGCGCTGCAGATTATCTGAGAAGATGCAGGGGAGGAACGCTGCGCTTTCTAGTAACTTCCAGCAGGGCAGCCGTGAGGCCTTCCTTGTGCCCCGTGAGCCGACCTGTGTGGCTCAGAGTGGGGCACGTGGCAGGTGCTTGGTGGGTGTCTGAGGAACCAGTGCATGGCACGAGGATGTGCTTTTAAGTGCCAGCCGCGATCATCCTCACCGTGCCTGGGCCCAGACACTGGCCAGGGTGGGGTTGGAAGAGGAGGAGGAGGGGTCCCAGGGCTGCCATCTACCCAGGTGGGAGGGACTTCATGGTCCCTCCTGTGAGGATAACACCTTGACAGGCCCTCCTCTTGCCTGGACAGCTCTGGACCCACTCACTTCGGCCACATCCACCTGGACCCACTCCCTTCTGCCACATCTGCCTGCCCCCAGAACCCCTCTGCAGGGCTCGGCCTTCTTCCCCTTTGGGCAAGCCCAGCATCTTCTCCTCCACAGGGGCTCGCAGTCAGCAGGAAACCAGAAGGACCCAAGAGGCCACACAGCCCCACGCCTCTATGTTACAGAGGCAGAAACCACGGCCTAGAGATGATGGCATGTGCCTAAGTCATACGGGAGGTGGGTTTCCACAGAGGCCTCCTGGGTCTCAGAGTGAACACTTTCTGAGATCGAGACTTCCTACAACCCCAGGGTGGTACTCACAGTAGAGGATTTCGTAGTCTCCGGAATTTGACACGAGGAATTGCGAGTTTACAGACCAGTCCAGGTGAGTAATGAAGCTGGAATGACCCTGGGAGAGAAAAACACCATCTTCATTTCACTGGCCTTAGAAGTCCCTGCCAACGCCGTTCCGTTGTAGTTAAATGACTGCATGCAGGTACAGCAGAAGCGACAGGGCCACTGTCAGCGCTTACCGAGCACTTGCCCACTCGTGTGTACTTCCTCCCGTTGTCACTGACACCATATATATAAATGCAGTTGTCATGCGAGCCTATGGCTAAGAAATTCCCATCTATAAAAAGATGACAAATCACATTTCAGATGTTAACAATACACATTTTATTCGTTACAAAGGATGATGGTAGCTGCCACCACAGATTTAGACAAAATCGCCAGATTAACGTATTATTGCCAAGAGAAACATCTGCCTTTGAATGAATCCTCTGCTACTTCCAAAGCTATCTTTTGAAAAATACACACCTGGCCAGATGATAAAATCTGGTAAAGATTTATAAATTTTTATGAACTCTTTTGTTTTTGAGACAGGGTTTTGCTGTATCACCCAGGCTGGAGTGCAGTGGTGTGATCATAGCTCACTGCAGCCTCAACCTCCTGGGCTCAAGTGATCCTAGGCAAGTAGCTGGGACTACAGGCGTGTGCCACAACACTTGGCTAATTTAAAAACTTTTTTTTTTTTGTAGAGTTAGAGTCTCGTTGTGTTGACCAGGTTGGTTTCAAACTCCTGAGCTCAAGTGATCTGCCTGCCTTGGCCTCCCAAGGTGCTGGGATTACAGGCGTGAGCCACTGCCCCCTATACATTCTCTTCATACAATTTTATGAAATCTTATAGGCCCTTCCCTGTCCCAATCACTGAAGGATGGAGACTAAATTCCTTGGAGGGGCCCACAAAGCCCACCAGGATGGCCTTCCAGCGACGTCACTCCTCACTGAACACACGGGTTCACTCAGGCCTCTGCACTCACTGCCCTCTGCCTGGACAGCCCTTCCCGCCTCACTTTCCAGGGGTATCTTAGTATCTTCTTCCCCTGGGTTTCTGGTTCTGGGAGGGCCTAAGGACTCAGGCTGTGATGCTTGTGTGGAAACACGGGAAGGAGCCCTTTGCAACAAAAGGCAGCAGCAGCCCTGGTGGCTGGAAGCGACCACACCGTGCATGCTGTGCAGGGAGGAGGACCCAGGGCGCCCAGGACAGGAAACCGGGCCTGGAGGTGAGTCCGGGAAAAGGTCAGACTTTCCTGAGCCAGCAAGCAAAAAGAAGGACTGGAAACCTGGAGCCACGCAGGGTCCAGAACAGAATGCAGGGCAGCAGGGGTCTCTCCGCTCCAGCTAGGGGGCTGCAGGTCCTCCATCCACAAAACACAGTGAGCAGCGCATTTTCATAGCAGTCGGGAGGCTCCACCTGGACAACATTGGTACAGGGCCTGGTGCTCGCAGGAGCATAAAGCATCAGGAAGGGTTGTTTCTCCCCTCCCTCTTTCCTGTGATGTTCCTTCTGCCAGGCGGGAATCCTGCAGGACCCAGGGTGGCCTGGAGCCTCAGGGAATGGTATTTTAGGAAGTGTTAGCCTAGGCCAGGTCAAAATAGGGGCGATGTAAGACCAGTGCAGCCTACCCAAATCAAGAATCCTGAAGGAATGAGGCAACTACACATTTTTTGCTGAAAAAACCAAAAAGGACTACTGTAGCCAGAGATGGGCTGCCATCGGCTGCTGATGAGGCTTGAGAAGGCCAGGTGACCACGCCGGAAACCAACTGTCCTTGCGATCAGTGCCTGCAATTGGCCATGCCTGGACAGCAACAGTGACAATGACCACAATAAACACGAAATGCTACTAACAATGGCCACTTAATGATACCAATTACAATTACTAAATGGCCAATATGGATTTTTTTTTTTTTTTAGATGGAGTTTCACTCTTGTTGATCAGGCTGGGGAGTGCAATGGTATGATCTTGGCTCACTGCAACCTCCGTCTCCTGAGTTCAAGCAATTCTCCTGCCTCAGCCTCCCAAGTAGCTGGGATTACAGGCACATGCCACTGCACCTGGCTAATTTTTGTATTTTTAGTAGAGATGGGGTTTCACCATTTTGGCCAGGCTGGTCTTGAACTCCTGACCTCAGGAGATCCACCTGCCTTGGCCTCCCAAAGTGCTGGATTACAGGCGTGAGCCACTGTGCCCGGCCCAGTCAATATGTTTGAGAGTCTGCTATGTGCTAGGTCCAATTCTAAACTCTTCCTGTATTAACTTATTTAATCCTTGTAACAACCTCACGAAGTAGATATAATTATCCCCATTTTTCAAGAGAGGAAAGTGAGGCGTGTACAACAAACTAACTCGTCCAAGGTTGCACAGGTTTCCTGAAGCTGGCTTAAACCCAGGGAGTCTGCCTCCAGGGGCACTGCCCCTCCGACCAACTGTAGGGTAAAGAACAGCTGCAAATCTGTCACGTGACACGGCAGGGGATTGGCTGTCCACTCTTATGCAAAAGGTCTCAAAGAACTACTTGATCAGGCCAGGTGCAGTAGCTCACACTTGTAATCCCAGCACTTTGGAAGGCTGAGGCGGGCAGATCACCTGAGGTCAGGAGTTTGAGACCAGCCTGGCCAACATGGTGAAGCTCTGGCTCTACTAAAAATACAAAAATTAGCTGGAGGCAGTGGCACACACCTGTAGCCCCAGCTACTAGGGAGGGTGAGGCTGGAGAATGGCTTAAACTCGGGAGGCGGACATTGCAGTGAGCCGAGATTGCGCCACTGTACTCTAGCCTGGGCGACAGGGTGACACTCCGTCTCAAAAAAAAAAAAAAAACAAAAAAAAAAACTACCTGATCATTTGTGAACTCAAAAAATAATGAGGTCTCTTTCATAATGGAACCATTTGTTTGTTTGTTTTTTCTTGAGACGGGGTCTTGCTGTGTCACCCAGGCTGCAGTGCTCCAGTGCAATCCCCGCTTACCACAGCCTCGACCTCCTCGACTCCTGTCATGGTCTCCAGAGCAGCTGGGACTACAGGCGTGCGCTACTACGCCCAGCTAATTTTTTAATTTTTTTGTTGAGACAGGGGTCTCACTATGTTGCTCAAGCTGGTCTTGAACTCCTGCACTCAAGCAAAACGTCCTTGGCCTCCCAAAGTGCTGGGATCACAGGTGTGAGCCACTGTGCCCAGCCATAATGGAACTATTCGTTATTTAACAAACAGGTTTAAGGCAATTGATTAATTACTTAAGGAAAAAAGTCATGTTACAACATCATCCCCCAAAAAAGTTCACTTAAAAATGAGCTTCGAGGCATAATTTTCATGCAGTAAAATGCACACATTTCAAGTGCATGGTTCGAGGAGTTTTGACAAATATACCTGTGTAACCACCATCCCCATATCAGTTTTTTCTTTTTTTTTTTTAGATGGAGTTGCCCAGGCTGGCATGCAATGGTGCATGGACCCTCTGCCCCTCTGCCTCCTGGGTTCAAGCGAGTCTCCTGCTTCAGCCTCCCAGGTAGCTGGGATTACAGGTGCCTGCCACAGCGTCTGGCTAATTATTTTGCATTTTTAGTAGAGTTGGGGTTTCACCACGTAGGCCAGGCTGGTCTCGAACTCCTGATCTCAGGTGATCCACTCGCCTCGACCTTCCAAAGAGATGGGATTACAGGCGTGAGCTACCACGCCTGGCCCCCATATCTGTTTTTAAAAATGAATGAAACAGGACTTCACAATCTCTTTCAGCAATCTACTTCTATCTCTGACAGCCTTAATCAGATTGTAATTCCTCTTTCCCATTATAATCCACAGTCTTCATGCAGGAGTTGAAGCTCCCTTCTGCCTGGTGAAGTCCTCCCTGCAGAGGGGAACCGGCCGATTATATCGTCCACATCCCCAGGCCTCTGCACAGGTATAGAGAGATGTCCTAGGAGGCCCTCATCTTCCTTGTGGACAACTCTGACCACCCCACCCCACCCCACCCAGGTCTCCACGTCTTTAGCACACACCCGCCAGTGCGTGATGTGGAAATGCAGGCAGTGTCTCAGAGACAAAGGCAGAACCAGGAGAAATGTTCTCTTTCTTAGAGGAGGTGCCTCCCAGTCCCTGGCCCCCACCACAAAAAAAACTCAAAACGACATTGACTACAACGACTGCCCGGGAAGATGGCAGAGTGTGAGGATGAGAATGTGGTCTTTGAGGCAGAAAAATGGGGTTCAAATCCTAGCTCTTTTACCTACATTCATCCATAAATATATAAAACGAATTGCTAAGAAATCAAAACCAACCAGCGTTCGTCAGTGTGCTAACCAGAGGCCAGATGAAACGTAGCACAGCCTGTTCCTTGGGTCCCACAGAGCCTTTTTTCTTTCCCTAATTGTTCGCCTCTCCTCCAAAAACTGTCTAAGCCTCCTTCCCCAGCTCTCTCGGAGACTGAGATTCCTAAACTTACTCCACTGAAATAAGCTAGGATTTGGCACCAAATGAAAACCAACTGGAGAACTCATAAAGACAGGGGAACAAGAGTCCGGGCACTCAGGGGAGAAGGACAACCTTACTGCTGTTTTCTACTGATTGCTCACTCTTGACCAGGCAGGAGGCTCGGGGCTTCAGTCAAGCCCAACAGCGCCCCAGCAGAGGGTTCAATTAGACTTGCTCTGCAGATGAGGAAACTGAGGCTTAGTAACTTGTGTACGGCAACACAGCCAGGTGAGTGGCACACACAGAAATCCTTGATGCTTGCAAAGTACCTGCATGCTGACGAGTGAGATCTTGGGGTGGAAGATGGTCTGCAGGTGCAGGAACAACCGTGCAGCTATGGTGCAGCCTCTCTCCTGGCACACTGATTGTAATTTTGGGCTTGGAGACAAGACTGCTGCATCTGCATGGGGACTGGCCCAGGGAAGGGGGATGCCACATGGCAGGGGAAAGGGCTGGCTCGGTGGCAGGGGCTGCAGCACCACAGCTCTCAGACCCAGGCAGACAGGGGATTTGATACTGCAAGTGACAGAGTGAATGCCAGATTCTGAGTCATTCTGGTAAAAGCAGAAAAAACCCACCTTTCAAACAACAACATGGATAAGATCAAAGAAGAGAAATACAATTGCAGGACCAGTTGCACCTGGTCCTTTCTGGGCTTCTCTCTTTCATCTTCACATTCAGATTTTTACCCTAGTTTCAATGAGCTGAAACTAGAACAGGCAGGCTAAGGATCTGCAGTTGGGCTTAATAAGTAGGAAATGATTTTCTTCCTATTTCTGTTCTTTAAAAAAGTACAATCTTAATTCAATCAAAACTCC